ACGTCTTAACTCAACACTGCGATGGGACCTCTTCAGTAACTTTTATGTTCAAACTTCTTTTTCTTCGATCTTTCTTTGGTCTTAATTGATTTAAAATATCTTGTTATATACAAGTCATTGATGGCAATTGAAAAGCAAAAGCTACATCTGACAGAGGTAACGACAGAGTGAAGGATGTTTAACATAACTTTTCGCGACTACGTAAGCAGCCATTTTTCGTCAGAACGGCAGAATGCAAGAAATCAGTACAATCAAGTGAGAAAGCAAAATCCGATGGGCACGAAATGTTACTCACCTTACCGATGAGCCTTATGCTCTGTCTCTGTCCTGTCTATGTTTTACAGCTAAGGGATGAGTTTAACAGTTCCAGATTTTCACGATTTCATAAAAAGTTTTTGATCGACATATTTTACACTGTCACTCATGGTACTGAGACTTTCCTTACTAACCCTCGTCTAGCACAACGCAGACATTTTCCTATTTGGAATGATTACTTCTTGGTTGGGTCTCCATGGCCCTTTCTATCCTTTCCTATGAAATAGAGACTGCTCTTCCATCGATACATTTGATATTTAGGTCGATCGATCCCTCATCTCTTTAGTATGGGTTTTTTGCAGCTACGCAATGCGGAAAATGCATACTGACGAGAGGTTGCCTGTGTGTGCGCAGGGCCTCTGTACCGATTTTTCATTTCGAGATCTACAAAAGCTGCAGGGCTGAAACTTTGGGAACTTACTCTTCATGCAAGTACGGGCCTCAATCCCCAAAATGGGCGGTCTTACCCGCGTGGTATCCATGCAAGAGCCCGCCAAATTTTTTTACGAGTAAGCTGCTAACTCGGGAACCAGAAATGCTTGGAGGCCGAAATTTTAAGGGGATGTTCTTCGCCCCAGTAGGTATTAGTGAGCTCAAACCCAGCCTCCCGCGTAAGCGTGGTACCCAAGTATAGGCCAAAATTTTTTTCGTATAATTTGATAACTCGGGGATCTGAAAAGCAAAAGTGTATAGTTTTAAGAGGATGTTTCCCGTCCAAACAATTCTCAGCGAGCTCAAACCCAGACATCGGGTATGCGTGGCACCCACGTGCCGGCCCATGAAAGTTTTTTTCCAGTAAGTTGCTAACTCAGGAGCCAGGAAAGCTAGAAAGCCGAAATTTTAAGAGGGTGTTTCCTGCCAGTTCTGACGGCCAGTCTTAGTTTGTTTAGCTAGAAGCATTTGCCGAAAAAACCGATGCCGTTGGCGACAAAAAACTGCGGGGAACTATGCAAAAAACGCATGTTCGTACGGGCAACTCGTGGGTTGGCCAATTATTTATAATATTCTAGACCTAAAGATGCCCAAAAATGGTATTTGTATAGCGCAATACCTGTGATGTTATGTAAGCAAGCTCTTGCTGATGCTGTCGCAATGTGTCAATTCGATCAGATACATGTGTATCTAGTCGAGCCAGTGCCGTTTGTTCCTGATC